GTCGGACGCTCAACCGACTGAGCCACCCAGGCGCCCCTAAGGGAAACCATTTTTATCTTGGGTCTGACCAGACAAATAAGACAAGCAAGTAGTATGGATGTTCCAGTGGTTTTATTAACTCCTTCTTTCTGGGGGTGGCAGGACCTTGTAGCTGGAGAGCTGGAAAGGAAACCCCAGAGTGGTGGTCTCAGTATGGATCATTAAAAGGATACAGAGGGTGCCCTGCATCTCTCGGGACCCTCTTCCCATCCACCTGGAAAGAGAGACAGACGGATGACTATTAGCAGGAATTGACATTCCAAAGACACAGGGCATTTTTCCCTGAATCTTCATAAACCTGTAAGCACTATGACAGATGGCAGTGGCAGGACCTGGACCTCAGACAATGCCAGTGTCAGCACTCCAGCAAACCATAGTCTGTTATATACCTGCCCCTGCCCCTAAGAGATTGCAGTCTCGGCTGGGATAAGGAATTATTTATATCCCTATGTGTAACAGGCTTCAACCCAACCTCAATCCCTCTACCAAGGTTGAGAATGCCTTCTAGGCTCCTCTTATTTATACCATTTACTGAGAACTTGCTATGTGTCAAGAACTGGGAACTTGCTACGTCTCAGTTTACTGGGAAACTGAGGCTTGGAGAAGTTAAATAACTTGTTCTACGTCACAAGGTCATATAGCCTGGGACTCACAGGCTATATGCTTTATTCCCAAGCCATACTACTTCCCCAAGCTTAATAAAAATAAAAAAGCCCACTGTGTGCAGGAAAAGCAATCCTACCAACAACATCCTGCCTCTCCTCTGACCAGGGAGGTTGAGGCCAGTTTTGGGCCAGACTCCTGCCGCAAAACTTACATTTATTCTGTAACTCTAGCACATGATATATACTCACAGTGATCATGGGCACAATGTATCGCCAATTTTTATTCAGGGTGTCTAACTGCTTCATCTCTTCTGGGCTAAAGGTGAAGTCAAACACCTGGGGAGGGAAAGTGGAGGTCAGGAAAGCCAGCTTTGTGTGTGGAAGTTGAGATTCCAGAACACTGCCTTCTTGCTAGGCAGAGTCAGAGCCAGACTGTGTCCCAATGGTCTAAAAGAGAAAGGACCCATCACCAAGTACCTGGATGTTCTGAAGGATACGTGAAGGTGTGATACTCTTGGGGATGGAGATCACTTTCCGCTGGACCTGCCACCTAAGGTGGGTGATTGAAATAGAATTAGGAAGAGGAGTCAGTACTCACAAGCAGTGTTTTGTCTTCCACACAGTGCTCTCTAAACTCCTGGACTCCCTGAGCCTCACTAGAATGGGGAACATGCCTCAGAGTAGCTTCTCCCAGATTACATACATGGCAAGATTAGCAACCACATCCCTCAACACTTGCCTCCCAATCCAGTGCCCTCCCCCACCTTTCTCCAAGACTGTGCACACCTGAGCAGGATCTGAGCTGGAGACCGGCCATACTTTTCGGCCAGTGCCAGGACCACTGGCTCCTCCAGTAGGACAGGCTCATTAGGATCACGCCAAGCACGATCAGAGGAGCCCAGAGGACTATAAGCAGTCACCTCCAGGCCACGTGCTTGGCAGTGGGCAATCAGCTCCTTCTGAGACAGGTATGGGTGGCATTCCACCTGAATCAAGAAAAAACCCATCACTATAGGTTGGCCACACCCAAATTTTAGAACCCCACCCACACATCTTGACCAACCTTGCACTGCTGATTCCCCCCACTTCCCCTCAAATCACTTTTCTCACTCTCCATCTTCCACTGTCCATTTCATTCTCTTCCCACACTTCAATGCCTTTCATTTCTTTATTTTTGGTTTTCTAATATTCTTATATTTGATATGAACCAATATATAGTACTTGTTCTCACTGACAGAAACTTACTTTATCTATTTTTAATTTTTTTTTAAGTTTATTTATTTGAGAGAGAGAGCAGGGGAGGGGCTGAGATAAAGGGAGAGAGAAAATCCCAAGCAGGCTCCACACTGTCAGCACAGAGCCCTATGTGGGGCTCGAACTCCCTAACCGTGAGATCACGACCTGAGCCGAGACCTGAGCTGAAACCAAGAATCATATGCTTAACCCACTGAGCTACCTAGGCACCCTCAATCTTACTTTGTATGTACGTTATTCATATTTATTTCCATTGTGTTTCAATCAAACAGACCTTTTTAGTTTTTTTTGAAATTTAATTCCAGTGTAGTTAACTCAATACCCTTTATCTTTAAGTTTTTATTTTTTGGGGCACCTGGGTGGCTTAGTCAGTTGACTGACTCTTGATTTTGGTTTTGGTCGTGATCTCAGGGTCATGGGATCAAACCCTGTGTCGGGCTCTGCACTGAGCCTGGAGCCTGCTTGGGATTCTCTCCCTCTTCCCAACTCACACTCTCTAAAATAAAAATTAAAAAAAATTTAAGTTGTTTTTTTTTAATGTTTATTTTTGAGAGAGACAAGCTCGAACAGGGGAGGGGCAGAGAGAGAGAGGGAGACACAGAATCTGAAGCAGGCTCCAGGCTCTGAGCTGTCAGCATAGCACTCAATGCAGGGCTTGATCCCATAACCCTGGGCTCACAACCTGAGCCGAAATCAAGAGTTAGACACTCAACAGACTGAGCTACCCAGGCACCCTTAGTGCCCTTCTTTATGCATAGAATTTTACACTAACACTTCTGAAAACTTGCTAACCATCTCCATAAAACAGACGCATCATCTGCTCACTCATGTTCTTGAACACATATATACCCCCAAACCAACAGATCTGCTTTGCTGTACTTACCTGCAAGACAGCTGGGCGCACAGACGCCACACTGAGCACGTCATCAATCTGCCGACTGCTGAAGTTGGACAGGCCCAGTGCCCGTACCAGCCCCTTATCCACCAGTGCCTCCAGAGCCTTCCAGGTCTCCTTGTAGTGGGTAGAATCATAGCGGATAGTCCCATCAACATTCTTAGGGAAAGGGTTGTCTCCTCGCCTAAGTGAAAGACAGTTCCCCATGAGTGGGCACAAATGTAGGCCTCCTACCTTACCTGCCCATCCAGCCACTCTGTGTCCCCATACTAAGCCCAGAAAGGGCAAAAAGCCAAGAATAAGAAACCTTATTAAAGAAACCCTTTAAGGTCATGACCCAGGCATTAACTTTATACAGAATGCCCATTTCCGCTCCTCTTCTTCCTAGACACATTGTACCTCTTCTCCTCTGGAAAATCTTCTTGAACTTCTTCCCCCTCAGAGAGTTGCATGCTCTTGCAATCTTCTTTCATTACAGTGCACAGAGCTGATGGTAAGGCTCCTTTCACGCCCTCTGCTGGAGCTGACTCTCTACGGCAATCTCTAGGCCTAACTTAGAAGCTAGTAGTTTTTTGAATAAATTAAGGGGGCAGGAGGGACCACCCGCGCACCCCTAGGGTACACACCATGCGAAGCTGCACTCCTTTTCTGTAGCTAAACTTCTGGCTGCTGTGGCATAAAAGGCTGAGTTCCCACAGCAAGCTGAGGAATGTTCCTCTCCTGCTCTGCTCCTGCTCTGCTCCTGTGCCTTATAAGTTCCTAACCTGACTCCCACAACACCCGACTCCCTGGATAAAGACCCTGGCAAGACTCACTCAAAGGCATAAGGCCAGTGCATTAGGTATAGGTCCAAATACTCCAGCTGGAGGTCAGCCAGTGTCTTCCGGAGGGCAGGCTCCACATCCTCAGGGTGGTGTTTAGTGTTCCACAGCTTGGAAGTCACAAACACCTCCTCTCGAGGCACCACCTGGTACAGGGGGCAGGGCCCATAGTGAGAAGAGCCCTGGGCACCCAGTCACCCACCCTCACCTCTGGGAAACTGATTAGAAGGAAGGTGCTTTCAGATCCCTCTGTCCAGGTGCCCCAGCTCCAGAGCTCTCTCACCCCATCCCTCTGTAGCCCCAGACCTCACCTTGCCAGGTCCCACATTCTCCTTCAAGGCCTCCCCAATCTCCGTCTCATTGCCATAGATAGCAGCACAGTCAATGTGGCGGTAGCCTACACTCAGGGCGTACTTAACAGCAGCCTTTACCTGCCAGGTGAGAGAAGCAGAGGTTTCAGCTCTGCTGGCCTAGGCCAGAAACTGCCCTAGGCCAGGAACTGCCCTCCTGAGGGTCACTGATGGGGGAGGGGCAGGATGACTGCAGTTATCCATAAAGTAGGGGTGAAAAGATGAAAGATGGTTCTAGTTGAGGGGACCAGAAGCCTCTTCAGAGACCCCAACCCCTTTGTGCCTACCCCAATAACCCCCAAGTTTCCCTCCTACCTAAGCAATCTCAACACGAGCCCAGCAAAAAACTACCATTGTATTCCCAGTTAGATGCTCAGCAGGTGGATGTATCCTTTGACAGAGAACAGAAATATAGGTCATGGACACAGGTTCTCTAGTCCTGAAAAGCTGGTTACAGAAACATGATATACAGGTAAGTAATTTGTACGCCAACGCACAGAGAAATGCTTATGGAGCCGTGAAGATCAAGTGAGCTTTGGGAGTTCAGGGAAGCAGAAGAACTCTGAGAGCGGAAGAAAATTAAGGAAGGCAGAGAAGTAAGATGGAGGCTGGGCTCAGAGCCCTCTGTTAGGAAAGAAGAAAGCAGACACCAGGTAGGACAGGTCAGTCAATTTGCTAAAAAACAGACTAGAAACATGGTAGCAGAAGCAAAACCAACAGTGTCAGGGCCTTGCCATTCAAGATCCCCATCTAGGTATAGCTCTTACTATCCAGACGTACTCCCCTCACCCTGCTGCCCCATACCCCTAGTTTTGGCCCAGTTCTGACTTCCACCTCCTGCCTTTATGTAGCTCCTGGACTTGTCCTGGGCCATGTCAGTGCCTGCCTGGAGCACAAAGACCCTGACTCCAGGGTTCTGGGTAACTGCAGGAATGAAAGCATAGGGAAAAGAGGCAGAACACAACACGAATACCAGCCTAAATCCCTGAGAGAAGAGGCTGTTCTCCCTGCCTGAGTCCCTCTTAAACTTAATCCCCAAACTTCTCTAAAGCCTGATTCAGATTTCCAAAGAACAAGGAAGAAGACCTTGGAAGATGCCCCACCCCAGGTGGGAGCAGATCTCTATTCCCATGCTCCCCTAAGATGAAGAGTTGACAGCAGGGGTTATTATACTCCAGCTCGCAGCTGCCTTTTGTTTTTTCCAGCCCTTGTGCTAAGAATGACTTTTACACCTTTAAAAGGTTACATGAATACATAATCACCTCCGTTTTGCAACTTATCCAGCAAAATCTAAATTATTAACCATCTGGTTCTTTAAGAAAAAGTTTGCTAACCCTTGGTCTACACAGCTGACATAGTTATTCTTCAAATCCTGACACCTGCTGTTGTCTATCTCTGGACTGGGCATTAGGGAGTGGCCCAGTCCTCAAGGAACCCTGTGTAGGAGAGGGAGACATGATCACGGCGCAAGGTGGTAAGTGGCGTTATGAGGGGTCAGCATAGGGCCAGGCACAGAGGGATCCCATGTCTGCCACAGCACTCAGTGCAGATTCAATTAGGGAAAGAGTTCCTTCCTATTTGCTCGGCCCTACTGGGCCCCTCAGCCCTTCCTCTGAGTCAGCTGAGGAAGCCAAGGGCTCACTGCTGGTCTCTTCTCTTGTTTCTTCCCACTGCCCTTCAGGTTCATCCCTGCATGAAATGGAGTATAGGGTTGGGGCTGCTAGGGAAAGTGCTGGGACCATCTCCCAAATACTGCCTCTTCCCTGGCAGAGGCACAAGAAGCCCTCCTCTTTTTCCTCCATCTCTCACCTGGCCAGGATCGCTCTTCCAGGTGCCCAGTCCAATCAGGGGCATCTTCTGCCCGGTGTGCAGGAGGACACAGGAAGCCGCCATGCTCCCTGAAACACAGACGGGAAGAGAATGGTGTGGGGGTCAGTGCTGCTTGAGCTTCAGCCACCCACCTGTCAAGACTCCTGTAAAACATGGGTGGTAAAGGGAGCACAGCGGCGAAAGGAGAACAAACACGTGGTTGTGTATACATGCCTGTGAGCAGAGGGCAGCTAAGACAGGGTGACTAGAACCAACCAAAGTCAGGAGCTCCTGGACAAATATTAACCGGACCATCAGTTTAGCTGCCTTCTTCTACCAGGCTAAAGGTCTATGTTAGACAGTTCTAATACCTAAAAACAAAGGTGGGTGGCTCCCTGAAGTACGCAGCCTTGACTACATAAGGTCTCAAACCAGTGTAGGACAGGTAAAGGCCATTATGAAACAAAGTGAGACCAAGTGACAGAACAAGCTCGGGGATGGGTCACTTCTCTGAAGATGAAATGAACATTTGCAGGAGGATGTCAGAAACTACAGATTCTCCTAGTCCCTCACAAAGATGTCTGATCAGCATGTTACGAGGCCTGAGTGGGTTATTACAAGCGAAGTAGACCATTGTTTAAAAAAACAAAAACAAAAACAAAAACAAAAAAACCAAGCTCAGAGAGGTGAAGTTATTTGCCTTGAATCAACAGCTAAGAAGTGGCAGAGCCAAGCATTCAAGGAAGAGCCAATGGAAAAAGGCAAGAAAAGAGAGGTAAACACAGATTCATAATATACTTGTGCTATGCCTCACAGTAGACACATATCACAGTGTGCTACAGAAAAGCAAATGACTTCTGCAGAGCAAGGACCAGGGAATATTGACATTGGCTTTTAAGAGTAAGTTGGACTTTCCTAAGAGTCAAGGGGAAAAGGGTTTCCAGGAAGGGTAATTAGACACAGCAGAAAGCAGTAAATTATAGACACAGGAAAATTTCCAACTGAACAAAACAGGTGGGTGATTGGAACAACCCTCTTTGGAGAGCTATGAAAATCAGAAGTCTCCAAATGACCCACGGATACTCATTCAGGCAGCAAATGCTTAATATTCCTGGCCGTGTGCTAGATCTAAGAGACATACATATTCAAATAAAGCCCCTGCCCTCTTGGAGTTTATGGGCTAGTAGGGGCTGGACTGAGGATATCAGTACAATGTATAAGATAGGAGCAAAATCTGCTCAAGTGCTATAAGAAAAGAGTAACCCTGCTAGGATGGCTTCATGGAGGGGATATTTGAGTCGTCTTTTTTTTTTTTTTTTTTTTTTTT